GAGCAGCCCAGGCAAGCCAGCATTTGCTGCCCATAGAAATAGAAAAGGCTGAAAAGGCCTGTCAACTAGTGGCGCATGCAGCGCAAATCCGACAGGCGCAAGCAGGAGTATACAGGGCGTGCGTTGAAAGCTTTCGGTAGCCGCAATCCTGTGGATGCAGCGGAAAGCAAACACCTGCTGAAGCTGTACACGCCAGTCAGAGTTTCTGTTCTGAAGAAAGGAAAATGTGAATAAGACACTGCGGAGCGCGGCTTTGGTTGAATAGTATCAACAGCCGCCGGGTGCCACGGAGAGGTCACTTCTTTAAAGGGCCAGCAAGCCAACGGCCGCAATAGCAACGGCCAGCAGACTCGGGGCAACGGCAGAGGCAGAACCTGTGATGGATGCCTTGATCTTCTTCCACTGGTCTTCGCTGCGTGCAATTCGCCAACAGATGAATAGCACACAACAGTGTATTCGCATCGACACGCCCAGCCCTGTACACAACTATCTCTTAGCAGAAAATTGTTGCCAACTTACGTGAATGGAGCTTCGCTCTCTTTAAGTGCTTCAGGTGTGGTCATGCACAGTAGAGCATAGCCTGTCTTCCCTCCATCAGTGCTTCGGTTGTATACTACTTGTGGGGGTTCGGAAGCTGCCGCTCGAGTGCAGGTAACGACGCGGCAGTCAGCAGCGGCATCGTTTGAAGGGTTGTACAGAGCAACAAAAGAAATGTTCTGCTGTGTCTTGTAGAGTGTCGTTTGGTCATCCTTCGCCGGAGGGATTGTAGTGAAGTTGTTGACGGCGTCCTTCCAGTGGCTCACTGCGGCAGCACAGTCGGGCTTCTCCGATTCCAAAACCATGTAGGCGTATGTGCCAGCTTGAAATTCATTTTCATTTCCGCTCTTCGTTACATCTGCTGACTCTTCCTGAAATGAAAAAAGCACGGACGAAGAAATGAGAAAGTCTGAAGTATAGATAGGCGGACTAATGACAGGGGGCCACATTGAGAGACACTTACTGCTGTCAGAGCTTCACAAACAGGATCCCATGC